AGTTGTCTAATCTTTGAGGGAATGTTGTTCCACAGAACAGATCCTCTGTAGTGTAGGCTACCTTTTGCAGACTCAGTTCTGGGTCTGGGGACATAATAATTTAACTCAGAATTTCTAAGATTGTGTGAATGTACATTTGAGGTGTTGGTAAAGATCCGCCTCAGATACGATGGGGAAAGATTATTATGGATTTTATACATTGTCACAGCCAACTGTTTAAGTCTTACATATTGTAGCCTTTCCCAGCCAAGCTCATGCAACAAAACACTTGAGCAAACGTCATAGTTAGAAAAGGTGAGAATTCTAGCAGCCCTATTCTGCAGCTTTTGAAGTTTGTCTGCTAGTCCCTTATTGATATTACCCCATGCAGCACCACAGTAATTAAAATATGGCATTACCAGTGCATTGTACATATTCACTCTAGTGTCAAATGGTATAAAATGACTTACACACCTTATGATAGCAATACCAGCGGATATTTTCTTTGGAATAGTATGAATGTGTGGGCACCAGTTCAAAGATTCATCAATTTGAACTCCAAGGGATGTATGTTTAATTACTCTTTCTAAGGGTGTATGATTGACTTTGACTGTGAAGTCACTATTTATTTGGGATAACTTAAATTGGCTCCCTATAAGCATGTATTTAGTCTTCTTAACATTTAAAGTTAATTTGCTTGCTGACAGCCATGACTGGATTAAATTCATATCATAATTCATTTTATGTTCAAGGACACATGGGTCTTCTGCAGATGTGGTAAGGGTAGTATCATCTGCATACATTCTGGGTTTTGAAAACAAATTACATGAAGGGAGATCATTTATATAAATAGTGAATAAGCGAGGGCCTAACATAGACCCCTGTGGAATACCACATGTTTTTTTACAGAAATCAGATTGAACTCCATCAATGAATGTTTGTCGCTTTCGGTCAGATAGATAGGACTGGAACCAGTTAAGAGATTGAGAACTAACCCCACAGAGTTGAAGCTTTCCCAGAAGGATAGCATGATCCATGGTATCAAAAGCTTTTTTCAAGTCCAGGAATATCACACCCTTTAAGAGACTGTTGTCAATATTCCATAGCCATTCATTTGTAGCCTCAAGTAAAGCTGTTTCAGTGGAAAACATAGGTCTGAAGCCAGATTGTGATTCAGTTAACAAGCAATTATTATTTAAATATTCATTTTATTGATTATAAACAACTCTTTCAATTAATTTACTTACTACGGGCAGAACTGAGATAGGTCTGTAGTTGTTAGAATCGGTCCTGAGGTCTTCTTTAAATATTGACGAAACTCTAGCTCGTTTCCAAGCATTTGGAAATATTCCAGTGGTAATTGACTGATTTATTATAAAAGTTAGACTGCGAGTAACTATAAGAAACGCTTCTTTCAGGAGACCTGCTGAGATGTTATCAAGAACACTGGCTTTGCGGGGGTAATATAATCACTAAAATTACTGTATGTATCTTTAATTTCAGAGGCTAAGGAAGGTCCTATTTTGGAGAAATGTGTGTTGAGTATATTACTGATTTCGATGGGGTCAGTATTTTCAGTATCCCCAGTGTCCAGCTGAGTTATCTTATTAAATTTCGGTTTATTTCCAATTAGTCTATAAATTCCTTTTCAAGTATTCTTTATGTTTCTGCGGTTATCTTTGAAGAAGGCACTGTGATATTTCATTTTACCATTCTTAATTTCATAATTAACCTTATTCTTCATGTGTTTGTAAGAAGTCCAATTGTCATCTGTTGGGAACCTTGAGGCTAATTTTTTGAGTTTGTCTCTCTGAAACATTAGCCTTTTTAGCTCTGGAGTAATCCAGGGGGAAGAGATTCCTTTCACGCTCTTCTTCTTTAGTGGTGCATGGCTATCAGCAATGTCTAAGAACATATGTTGCCATATATCCCAAGCAATGTCAGGATTATGCTCCTGTTCAATCAGATGCCACGGGACCATAGATAAATCAGTTCGAAAACTATCTGGAATAAAATTTTTAAAGCATCTGCTCGTTACAGTCTTTGGATTTGATTTGGGGATACAAATCTTTCTTATTGCATACACCAGACAGTGATCACTGATTCCAATATCGGTGACTCTGGAGTCCGAAAAATTCCACGGATGATTAGTTAAAAACAAATCAATAATAGATGATGTGAGTTGTTATACGTGTTGGCTGATCAATCGATTGCCTATACTGGTAACTATCACAGATATCTAGTAGTTTTTGAGAGCTGCAATCTGGTGATGTTGCACCAACATTACAATTTAGGTCACCGATAATGTCAACTTCCATATGATATGAGTCCAATTTTTGCAATACATCCTCAAAATCTGTTCATCAGTTCGGTAGTGGACCCTGGAGGCCTATACCAAGAGCACACAATAAATGGTTTTGTTTCGGTTTCGACATTTGGATACTGATCAGTTCTATGTTATCATCCGGGAGGTCAGTGAGACGCTTACAATTTATTGAGTCCCTGATATAGAGGGCCACACCACCCCCATTTCTATTTCTATCTTTCCTTTCAAGAGTATATCCAGGGATACTGACCTCACCATTTTGAATAGAGCTGTCAAGACGAGTCTCATTAATAGCTAGTATATCTACTGTCTTGGACAGCATATATATTCTAAGCTGGTCAATATTTTTATACAAGCTGGCCAAATTAATAGAAGCAATTTTAAATCCTCTAGTTACTGAAATACCCAAATTTGGCTGCATGTGTGCGCTACTTGAAAATCTATTAGGTAAATCTGTCGGAGTTTTTGGATGAACTTGGCTATTATTATCTAGTTCAATATGGGAATTTTTAGCGGAATTATTCATATCACTGTGTGTCTTAAATGTACAATTCTTATTAAGATCATTAACCTGGTTCAATGATTTGTCATTTCTCTTACTTGGCGCAAGTAATTGGTCCACATTGTGGTATGGTTCAAAGGTTTGCGTTCTCGGAAGTGGTCCTGTCGAAAACCCATTGCCAGTTTTGTTGTCAATTCTTGGCCAGAGGGAGGCAAGTTAGCTCGCCTCAGATATCTACAAAGGTTGCTCCCAAGAACTTTGCTCCCACTGCTGTTGAGATGTAGATTTGATCTGTTGAGGTGATGGGCCAATATATTCCTGTTGTCAATAAAACATACATTTGTTTGCTCGCAAATAGTTTCGGTAAGTCTGTTAAAGCGGTTTACTTTACAAGCGGTGACAGCAGCTGAGACATTTCTTAACGTCACAGCCGATATGGCCAGGGACTTTGTCTTCGGTTTCGGGTCATTGATTAGCATGCACAGTTTCGTGGCAGCCGCGTCTTCATTTTCAACAGCTAAATCATTTGTTCCACAATGAACGATTAAGGCCGTGTTCCCATCAATGTGGCTGGATGCAAGAAACTCATTTGCTTTCTTGTGGATATCTTTAATCTTGGCTCCTCGAGAACATTCAACTATAGTCTTCCCTCTGCAGGCATGGGATAATTTCCTAGATTCTATATTTTTGACTAGCGAGTCACCAATTAGGCAGGCTTTTGTCGGTTTGTCTGCACTAACAGGAACCTGCTTTGAGGAATTGAGAGCTGTAACTGTAGAGTTAGCAATGGAAGGTTGAGTGGATGATTCAGAGATTGCAGTAGTAAACTGAGAAATGAACTTTTGCTTGTGTTGTAATCGATATTCTGCTAGTTGATCAGCCAAGGGTCATAGGCGTTGATCGATCTGCATTGATTATCAGCGGCGAATTTTCATCAGGTTTGGTGTCTGATGCTTTAGGCGATATTTCACTGTCGGAAACCTCAAGCGCCTTGAATTTATTTTGAATATCTATGGGTCTTCTATTTTTACCGACACTTGTCCACGCCTGGGAATCAGACAAGATATGGGATTATTTCTGGAAGTGAGAAGTTACGTCATTTCGAAGATTAATTGCGACCAGTAATGCAGCATGAGAATCTTTCAGATCATTTGTCTCTGGTAACCTTTGTGATTGGGTCTGGAGGTGGGAGGTTACGTCATTTCGTAGCACGATCAATTCATTTGTTATTTCATTGTTTGCCGCCAGTAAAGCTGCATGAGAAGCTCTCAGATCAATTAGTTCGTTAGACACTTTTTTTAACAACAACGACAACTGAGTTAATTGACTGTCATGATCAGCTTCGATTTCCTTGACCAGATTTGAATATGGAGATTTGTTAGCATCCAAAATGATTTCCATGTATGCGTTATCAATAAAATTTTCAGCTTTGGCTAGGTCGTCTTCAGTGGGTGAAACAGGAGGTTTAGCAAAATCCCCTCCAAGGCTGTTGTCAGCATTAATTGTAATAGGGCCATCACTAGGCGAAACAAGCCCCGTAGCTATCACCTCTCTCGCTTGAACATCGTTGTCTAGATTCTCTTGGAATGCGTTCAACGTTTCGCTAACCGGGTGTGCCCAAGTCGAAGTTAGATTAATTAAATCTTTTCTCAGTTTGTCTGCATCTTCTTTTCCTTGAATTTGTAGAGTTTTCGCTTTGTGGTAGAAGTTACAAGTGATGTTTTGAATCTTGAAAACAGCATAAGTTCCGTTGTCGTTAGCGCGAAATTGATTAGGCTGAACTTCCAAATGCAAGGCCAGAAACCAGAGTAGGTCGTTCTTAGATCCGTTCCCTTTGAGCTGATTTTTTGTAGACAGGAAAGATAATTTCTTGCAAAGGGCTTCCAAATCCTCCATTGCTTGCGGAGATCTCAATTTTGACTAGGTCAACTCGGTCAACTTCTAGTATTAATTCCTTCTATCTGCGGGATGTTGGTATATATCGGAATGTGGAATGTTGGTATATATCTTTAAAAAGTGACTGGATCGGGGCACAGCTTGCAAAGGGATGAAAGTGTCACTTTTCCTTCACCTGATGTCGTTTGCAGGTGACTTTTTCATGGGAGACGTTGTGCGAGGACAATAGACCGGCGCCTCTAGGAGCCGTGAGAGATTTCAGCCAAAAAAATCGGAAATTCAATTAATGTAAGCGAGTTCATTGGATATCTCTCCATAAGTGCGAAATTTGGACCGATGAGAAATCCAATATTTACCATAAAGGACCAGACACATTGAAAGCTCGGTATATTCAGGATTGGAAAATGTTTAATCTGAAGCTGTAAAATTATGACGTAAACAGTTACAATCATGTTTCTAATTTTCAAAGGAAAATCAATAGCAAATGACTAAATGAAAACAAAATACGCTCACAATGTTTTATGTTCACTCACATCTGTCCAAGCTCTGTAAACTTTTCAGCATCCAAATACATAACATCAAACAGAACTTCAAAAGGCACATTACATCAAATTACACCCATAAACATCAAAATCATTTCTTAAAGGTTATGATTGTCTTTCGCAATCATATCAAATTTCACATGTCAGTCAACGATTGATTCCCGTTCCCCCGCAATGGGGAATCCCCATTCTAATCAGCAAAACCTTCAGCTCGATAGATGATGCAGATCTTTGTAATTGGGCGCATATATGTTCCTGAGCCCTTTTTCACTTCAACATCTCGCACCAAACCATCTGGTTCAGGGCAAACTTCTGCCTACGTTCCATTTTCGTATAACTGGGTTTTGATCTGCGACGATGACGGAATCATTGACTTTTACATTTCTGCTTTGTGTGCTCCATTTCTTTCGTGGCATGAGCTGAGGAAGAACATCTCTGTACCACCTCTTCCAAAAGGCCACGACAATCTTTTGACAGAACTCAAGCCGATGGTGTGGATTTTCCATGTGGCGAAATGGATCCTTAGGAACTCTGTTGGTTGCTCTACTAAGTATGATGTTGTTTGGACATAAACAGGCGCCATCATCGGGGTCGTTTGGTATTCTGCCGATGGGCCGTTCATTCAATAGATTTGCAGCTTCAAGAAGGCAGGTGTAGGGCTCGAAGGTGGTAAGAACAGCTTTGCCAAGGGCTTTCTTGAGGGCGGACTTTGTGGACTTGATGAGAGCTTCAGAGCATCCGTTCTGATGTGGGGCAAGGGGCGTAGTGAATTGCCATTTCATACCCCTGTCGGCGCAGTACTCTCTTAGCTTTGTTTGTCCCATTCGTCGATCATAAGACTCAATTCTCTTTCTGCTCCCACCATTTGCCACCTGTTGTCAGACAGCATAACTTTCGGAAAACTACTGTAGGAGAAAAATCTTCTTAAAACTTGCAAGAATTCCATAGTGCTGGTGTCAGTGGCGAATTTGCGGTGAACGGCTCTCGTGTTCAGGCATGTAGAGATTACACCGTAGTGTTTAGCTGTCTTGTTTCTGCTGATCTTTACTTTGATGAGCCCAAAGTAGTCACATGGGGCCCAAAGTAGTCACATGAAGTAAACATGAACGGTGGCGTGAATGGTTGAAGGCGACTTATAGGTAACTTTGCCATCAGCTGCCTCCCAGCGTTAGCTTCCGTCCTTTGGCAGAAGGTACATTGGCGCTTGATAATCTTGGAGAGCTTGTTTCCCTTGGCAATCCAGTATTTTCTTCTCGTCTTGGCGGTTGTAGTCGCAATGCCTGGGTGTCTGGACTGATGTGCATCATTGGTAATTAACACTGATATCCAACGGTCGTATGGCAAGAGGACAGCATGCTTGGAATCGTACAACACGAGAGCATGATCGACACGCACACCAACTCGAGTGATGCCTCTGACGTCTACAAATGGGTTTAATGGTTTGAAGTCTCATTTGGCTATTCTTGTAAGTCCAACTTGAGACTTCTTAATCCAAAATTCTGCTTTTTCGACTTCTTCAGCATCTGGCGGATCTACAGAGACTTATTGCCTTCTCTATCTCGGTGGGTTTTGTTGCAGAGGTTGTTACAGAAGCGGATAACATAGGCGGTAACCTTCAGCAATCGTTTCCATGTTGAGAACTTTTTGCAGTCAATCACAGTGTTTACAGAAGCAGGGCGGGTGATTTGACCCTTTCTTTTCTCCTTGTTAACTTCCTTGAAATCCAAGGTACCTTGCTCGACAGGCCAGAACTCTTCACCTTGCTGCAGGAACTTGGGTCCATTAAACCATCTTCCATTCATTTCTTCAACCAAGATTCCCTTTGTTAAGTCATCGGCAACGTTAAGCATGGTAGGGCAATGTAACCAATCTGCTCTGTACCTCGCCAAGTCAACAGGAGACGAATGCTTTGAAGCTTCTACTTTCACTCCTTGTCCAAAGAAAGTGTAACAAGGCTGTCTGAGAAGTATCGTATTCTCTCAAACTTAAATCGCGATTCTCCCACGATGTTACTTCCAAAGTAGCTGGTGATGACGGCTGCTTGTAACTCAAGGCGGGGGATAGTGAGTTCTTTTAGGGGAGCAACCTTAGACTTTGCTGCTGCAAATCACACACCAAACCTTCCATCCTTAAGGTTATATTGGACATAAGCACATGCACCAAACACTTGTCTTGAGGCATCACTGAAGACAATCAAAAAAGGATCACCACACGCGTTTGGGGGTGTGAGGTAACGTTTGAACTTGACATTGTTTAAGGCGATCATTTCTCTAAATAACTTCATCCACTGTCACTTTATTTCTGGTCGGATCTCATCATCCCAGCCAAGGCCAATTTAACATAGTTCCTGCATTGCAATCTTCGGCTTCACACGGACTGCTGCTCCAGTTCCCATTGGATCGAATACACCTGCAAGCTTGCTCATAAGTAGACGTTTTGTCATTTTCAGGACGATAAACGTGCCTGGATCTCCCAAAGGAAGGTTTTCTTTAGCCAATTCAAGTTTGATTTTAAACGTAAACATGTCTTCCCGAGGAAGCCACACTGCTCCTAAGACCTTTTCTACTTGGCTTTCACCTCCAATTGTAACTTCACTTGGGTTTTCTTTTACGTCACTTTGCTCACTGGAAATCCACTGCTTCACATGAAAACCGCCAACATGAAGCACCTCATCAATATTTGACATCAATGCTTTGGCTTCCTGAACATTGTTGACTGAATCACAGATGTCGTCTCATAGGCATTCTTCAAAATAGCTTCAGCGGCCCTGGGTTTCTCTTTTTTCTTCATGTTCGCCGACTTCTGCATTGCGGTAATAGCCATCGTTTGCACTGGGCGGCCGCCGAACATGAGAACAGTCTTAACGTACTTAACTTCATAATTTCTCGAGAGGAATTTGTGCACATGCTGATCTTCTTCGGGTATGGCAATCATATGATACATCTTTGCAATGTCTCCACAAATAGCGTAGGGTTTCTTGCAAAATCGTATCACAACGCCAAACAAATTGTTTAGCAGGTCAAGTCTCTTGAACCAGTAGTCGTTGAGGGTGTGGCTGTTATGTGATGCTGAGCTGTTAAATACAATTCTCACTGGCGTACTTTTCTTCTCTGGGTATGTAACTGCATGATGGGAGAAGTAGTGTATCGGCCCTTTCCAATCAGTCAGTTCCTTTGGGGACAGCTTCCTTGCAAATTGCATTGTTTCCATCTCCTGGATTTGATTGTTGTAGCTGGAGGAGTTCTCTGGATCTTTCATGAGGTGTCATTCTAATGACTCTAACTTCTTCCGTACTTGAACGTAATTATTTGGCAGAATAGAAGGACATCTTTTCCAAGGGTATTTCATTATCCACTTGTTCCCTTGTAACTGACAGGATTCTTCTATCAGCTTGAGCTCTTCTCTTTCCTGTGCTGACAATTTGGCACCTCCACACGTACATGGCACTACGGACACACCCATCGATTCCGTCTTCCACAAATCAGTCATGTCAACTGGTTGGGCGCGGCGAACAATAGACACTTGTTTAATTTGCGGCATTAGATCTTCAGTGTTGGAACCAAATATCACCCAACCAAATGGGCTCTTCCTTGCGACTAATGTTCCCTTTACTTTCGTTTCACCGATGTGGAACCTTGAATAATGTATTCCTATCAGAACATTGACGGGGCCAGCTTGTTGTCTGACGTCGTCTGAACCAAGGCCAAAGAGATTCGCTAATGCAGTCACGTCAACTTCCGTTATGTCATCTGATATTTGAGGAATGCCGACTGCTTGTATAACTTGAACTGCTTTGCCATCAGATGTGCAGACAGGAAACTTGCAAATCTTTGTTGTCAGCTCCTCTTCAATACCACCGACCTTTGTAATCAGAATTTTGACAGGCTTGCTTTGAGGACTGAAAGATTCAGTGAGACTACTACGTATCATGGATATTTGAGCACCAGAGTCAAAAAATATGGCGGTTTTTTTGAATACATTTGTGTTGGGGTGTACTTTAATTGCTCCTGTTACTACTGGAAGTAACGCCAAACTCTTGTCCTGTAGCGTGGAGACTTGTAATGAACCAGATGCTTCTCCACTGTATAAGTGCGGAAGTTTATGGTGGGACTTGTTACATGCTGTGCCATCGCTATTCTTTTCAGAACATGTCTTTCTGCGCAGGCAATTTGTGGATGTATGACCTTTACCATTCTTCAAACATGAAAAACACTCTTTTTGAACCTTAACAACCTCCCACTGTTCATTAGGCGTCATTGCTTTAAATTGTGGGCACTCATCAACGTAGTGACTTGCTTTACATACGTAGCACTGCTTCTGATTTTTGTCACGTTCACCGGAGGAATTCCCATTTCCGTCAGCACCCAGTAAATTGACGGAGGGATGAGTGGTACTGCCAGTTTTGCATATCGTTGCTCCCAATCCAAGCCTTGCAGTCATTTTTTCGTCCATCCATTTAAGCAAATGTTTCATTGAAGGCTCCAACTTTTGTGAGTGAATGTGGCGGGCGCAAATTTTCACGTCATCTTTTGTCATCTTGCGTTCAATCAGTGATGTTACATGGGTGTTGTCGATATTTTGGGGGCATTTTACTTCCTTTAGAATGTTGTACGATCTTCTCAAACATGAAGAATATAGATGTATCTTAATGATGAAGAATACCCCGAAGCTGAACACCGGATGGAGGATTGTACATTGTGATTTGTGGAGTTTACAATACGCGTGAATGATTATTGTAAGGACAAAGATAAAGAAGTAAACGCAGCCAGCGTTGTCAATGTTAGTGAGCAAGAAACTCACAGATCACAAGAACTATCAATGAAAACGAAAACGAACAAGGCTGTGCAGCTATGCAAAAGGGTAAATCAGAAATGCCTCTTGTAATGAAGCATGAAAAACCCAAAATGCCTTGTTTTATGGTGATGTACGCAAATATTTCATTTTTAAGGCCGACTTTCAGCATGCTGTTGAAAAATATTATTCTGAGAGAGATGCCATTTCTATTCTTCGTTCATGTTAGTCACCAGAACCAGCAAAGTTAGTTAAAGGAGTAAGCACCAATCTGAAGTCCGCGTGGAATTATTTAGACCAGAATTGTGGCGATCCTAGTATTGTGTCTGATGTTGTTATATCCGATATCAAGCGATATAAAGCTGTACAAACAGGCAAAGACCACCGATTTTGTGATTTAGTTAATCTCCTGGCAATGAGATTGTCGAGTGCAGCCTTAACTTCGTCAAATGCATGCCGAGCTTCCAATGGCTGGCGACTAGAATGCTGAAGCATTCTTGCGGCGTTGAGGGATCAGGTGAACACAGACTTCGCTGCTCAACGCAACTCATTGATTCCTCACCAGCAACACTGCTTCAGTTTTCAAAGATCTTCAGATGATGGACCAATGAGAAATCCAACATTAGCCATAAAGGACCAGAACCATTGAAAGCTCGGTAGATTCAAGATTGGAAAATGTTTAATCTGAAGCTTTAAAATTATGATGTAAACAGTTACAATCATGTTTCTAATTTTCAAAGGAAAATCAATAGCAAATGACTAAATGAAAACAAAATACGATCAAAATGTTTTACATTTCCTCACATCTGTCCAAGCTTTGTAAACTTTTCGGCATCCAAATACAGAACATCAGACAGAACATCAAAAGGCACATTACATCAAAATTACACCCATAAGCATCAAAATCATTTCTTAAAGGTTAACATGTGGTCTTTTGCAATCATATGAAATGTCGCATGTCAGTCAACGATGCAAAATTCAAACAGTAAATCTGATTTTTTTTTGCTTAAGACTATGATTACAAGGCTGAATTTCACACAGCACGTTACATTTTGTTACAGCAAAAACTTTAATGCAATAGTATGTGCGGAAATATACGTTTCTTGTTTACATCATAGTCCCGCTAATAATGCCTGTCCTTCTTCATTTCAACTTACTTCCATCCTCCAGATATTATTGGTCCCATACTTGGCAGGAAATTATGATCTATGTGCACTCCTGCGTGTTTTATCCCAGCGGCTTCCAAAACGTAACAATTTCTCAATAAAAGAAGTAAAAAAGCCAGAATTAATTTAAAATAACTTGTCAAAATTTCCATCCTCGGCGGTGTGACAGCAGAACTGCCACACTGACTGACCTTGCAACGAGCCGTAAACATACAAACAACAACTCAGTTTACTCGAAGTATCCACAGAAATTCATTTACACGCACTCTTGATTCATACCACTGACTTTCCTTACAAATAGCTGATTCAGAAGCGATGAGCGAAACCGTTATGTGATGACATGATGCGATAATGCGGTAATGAAAACTGTAAGAAAGTGATAAAAACCTAGCATTACAAACAAGCACGGCACGAATGCGAAAATACAATAAAAGCAAGAACATATCACTCTAAATGAACAGAAAAATCTCACATCTGTGTCCTTATGCCTTGCAACACCTTAGAGAGTCCTTAATCGGTACAAAGTAGAGTCCTTGATACCATAAACCGTAAAGAAACCTTAATTTAACTGTTTTGCTAAAGTCTTAGTGAAAACGTTTTTGCAAAAGTAAATACAACTAGCGTGGTCATCCGGGACCCGGCTCAGTCCAGGCCACCACAATACAATGAAACGGCGCACAAAAAAATGTCACAATTGTCACGCATAATTCTGCTGCAATGTCGAAATAGTAGTCACCATCACGTAGGAAGTGAAGCTGATACTTCAGATACAGACCTAGTTGGTTGGGTGGTTGATGCTGGCTGATTGGACAACATTGCTGTAGTTCCTTCACGTGCTGTGTGTAAATGTTGAGCCATCCTTTCCATTTCTCTTTCGCTTTTCTGGTGATAGGAACTCCACCAGCTTTTTATTTGGGAATCTTTTAAGGGTTCCAAGCCTGTTGATTTGTTAGAGTGGAGAACGAGGAACACGACAAGAGTAGAAAACAACAACATGGGTTTATTCGTGAACCGCCATTACGAGAGCACATGGTTCGAAGTGAAGTATCATGGGAACTAGAAACATACTTCATGTGCGCTACAATATACTATCAATCAACATCCCTTCTTCTTTAGGAAAATAACAATGGAGTTTCTTAGCAACTAAATATGAAAGCCGAATCTTTCCCTGAAGATGTCCAGTTAAGTAACAATAACAAGGAACTCAAACAGTATCTTTAGTAAGCAAAGTTCCTAAATAAAGCAGTTCAATTAATCAAAACAGTCTCTACTTGTTGAGAACATAGTCCTTAAAACGAATAGGTAATCTGCTTTCACGTTTAGGCCTTTCTGGTGCGGGACTCTTAATGGGAGTAGTTGCCTCACTATGTGAATGACTTTCTTTGGCCTCAGCGCCAGTGGTTGGAGTTTGAGGAACTGAAGGCACGGCTGAAGTCAATACTTGGTCAGGAGTACGAGACAAAACGATAGGAGACACATCGCGAGGTGTTCGTACTACTTTGGTGGGTCTTAGATGCACACGGTTTCTTCTGTACTTGCTGCCATTGGCACCTTCCACTTGGTATGTATTAGGGCCTAAAATTCCAGTTACTTTGCCCCATTTCCAGTTCTGACCTTCTGTGTGTTGGTAGAATTACTGACTGTCCAATTTCAATAACTGAGAGTTTGCGTGATTTCCGATCGTGATATGTTTTCACGCTGCGTTTTCGCGCATCACGTTTTCCTTTCACGAGAGTGTTCTTAGGTTTACTGCTTAAGCTTGGTAAGAAACTACGTGTTTTGCCGTTAAACATCATTTCCGCTGGACTCAACGCAGTGTCCTGACGAGGAGTGTTATGTTGTTCGAGTATGGCTTCATAGGGATCGCCACCATCCTTGTAAGTTTTGATTAGCAAGGATTTCATAATCTTCACGGCGGACTCTGCTTTGCCGTTAGCACGTTGATGCATGGGTGATGATGTATGATGGGAAATACCCCAGCTTGTTATGAATGAGTTAAATTCTTTACTGGTAAATTGAGAACCTCCATCTGACACGATTACTCTTGGTATGCCGTACCGTGCAAAATGTTTCTTGAGAAGAGTTATGGTACGGGTGCTCGTTTGGCTTGTCAGTAGATCAATCTCTATGAAATTAGAGTAATAGTCCACTACAATCAAGCAGTGCTTTCCTGCGATTTCAAAGAAATCCAAACCAATCTTTTGCCAAGGTCCATCGCCTTCGGTGTGTTGTTTCAATGGTTCTCGAGTGTTTCGTGGCTTCATTTCTTGGCAAGTTTCACATAAATCCGCTAATTGTTTAATATCATGGGCCATGCCAGGCCAGAAAACAATGCCTCTAGCTCGACGCTTCATGCTTTCACAGCCTAGATGTGCACTCTGGAGTCTTTTCTTGATAGATGCTCTCAGTTCAGATGGAATTACTATTGCTTCTCCTTTTACTAAGATGCCATCTACTATACTGAGAGGGAGACTGGGGCTGGCATGCGTAGCGAGTAGACGTGTTTTCGAGAGCTCCGCTCTGTATATTATAACCGTGCAGCAAAAGCTCTCTAGGAGAGATGTCGAATTATTTAATTAGTTCCATCCTCAAGGGCAGCATTAAGGATATTTATCTTGCTGCTCTTTTAAGTTTTGTGTTTTTCAGTATCTCGTTGAAATGTAATTTTTTCGTTTTTGCTTTTGTAGATGTTCTACTTTGCTTTTACTATGTTTTTCAAAGCTATTCTGGCGCGTTAATGAGGATATATTCTTTAAAGTTTGAAGGTGCCAAACTGATGCTTAACTTTTCCCACCTAATGAAGTTGTTTTTCCCTTTGGCGAAGTAGGGCGTAGTAACGTTGATTTTAGCCTTTTGTCACTAAATGCTCGAGGGATTCGTACTTTTGAAAAGCGGAAAGCAATTTTTAGCTGGCTTTTAAATTCTGGAGCCGATATTTGTTTTCTGCAAGAAACCTACAGTACTCAAGAAGTCGAAAATATCTGGAGAAAACAGTGGAAAGGAAACATGTTCTTTTCGCACGGTAGTAGCCATAGTCGAGGTGTACTTGTACTGGTAAGGGATAACTTAGACTTTCAAATGCGATCTATCAAGGTTGATTCTCAAGGTCGCTATGTTTTCTTAGAGGTTTCCATTCAGGATTCACCATACTTTCTTTTAAATATATACGCTCCAAACAAATGTAGTGAACAATGTACCTTTTTTAAAGAAATATCAGAAATTTTGAAAGCGGCTAGAACAGAACAGGATTACCCAATTATCGTCGGAGGCGATTTTAACGTCATACTTGACCCTGACTTAGATGGACGGGGCGGAAACAACAGAAAGAAAGACTCCGCAATATTAGTTGAAGATATGCACCTCGATTTTGATCTGGTTGATATCTGGCGTATTAGGAACCCCACTACATCACGATTTACTTGGCGTCAAAAAACTCCGGTTGTGCAGAGGCGTTTAGATTTTTGGCTTATAAGCGACAGTTTGCAAGATGAGATAATTTCAGCGGAGATTAAAACATCAATAAAAACTGACCATTCGGCAATAACCCTTTCAATTTGCGGCTTAGATGAAACTGAGAGAGGACCGAATTTCTGGAAATTCAATTCGAACTTAGTAAATGACTCGGACTACTGTGAACTTTTAACCACTGAATATGTGAATTGGTTAGAGGAATTTAAAGAGGTTCAGGATAAGCGTGTTTTATGGGATTTAATTAAATACAAAATAAGACAGCAAACAATTACATACAGTAAAGGTAAAGCCCGTGAAAGAAGAGCAAAACTACAAAAGGTGGAAGATAAGCTGAAGGAATGTACAGAAAAATGTGATATTGATCCAAATAGTGGAAATCTCGAGGAACTGGATTGCCTTCAAACAGAATATGATCAATTGTACGATTACATTACACAAGGGGCAATCATTCGCTCTAGGGCAACCTGGTATGAAATGGGTGAAAAAAACAACAAATATTTTTTGAATTTAGAAAATTCAAACAAAACTAAAAGCAGTGTCCGCAAAATCTTAACAACTGTTGGAGAATTAACTAGCGACCCAAAAAAGATTATGAATGAATTGGAATCATATTATTCTAATCTCTATGATGGTAGAAATTCCGCAGACACGCAGACAATTTCTTCGTTTATAAATGATCTCACCGATGTTCCATTTTTAGCCGAGGAGAAGAGGAACGTTTGCGAGGGTATCCTTAGATATGATGAATGCTATAATGTATTACAGACCTTCCAAAAGAATAAATCGCCAGGGAACGACGGTTTAACAGCCGAGTTTTACTTAGCCTTTTGGCCCTTGCTTGGAAAGTTGGTAGTTGATAGTTTGAACTATGCTTTCGAATACGGTGAACTATCGAACTCACAGAAACAGGCCGTTATCACCTTAATTGAAAAGAAAGGAAAAGACAAAAGGTTGGTGAAGAAT